GAGAGAGAGAGAGAGAGAGAGAGAGAGAGGTTGATACTTGTCAGAAAGTACCTGTGATATTTTTCTTAAATAAATTGTGAATAATAGAAAAATATACTAACATTGTTCAAACTGGAAACTAAAATCTGACAAATATAAATGATGCTTCAACAGTAAGGCTCTGAGGAGTATGAGCAGTAACATCCCAAACTGCTAAAATAGTTGTCATGGAAGGTTGAGAGATATGGCCCAATCCTAGTTTCCACTCACCTGCTGTGAGAAGACTTGGTTTGTCTTAGTGTTAGCAGGAATTAAAGGCAAAGGCAGGCGGGGGTCTGATGCAGAAGTGCAGGGGAGACTTAACAGCTATTTGGGTGTGAGTAGGAGGCAAATGTAGTCAAAGATGGCTCAAAATTCCCAGCCTGGGGACTGCAGCTATCGTTTATGGGTATCATGGGGAACAAGATGAATTCCTTTCATTGTTACCAGAGGAGAGATGATGAGTTCAGGTGTCAATCAAAGTAACAGTGCTTCTTGTTTTAAGTAATAATTGCTCCAAAAGGGAAGCTTTCTACCTGGGTCTTAAAATCTCAAATAAAGTACTGATTCAATTAAAGGGTGACTTTGCTGTGTGTGAATTCTGTCTTAGTAGAGTTTTCTTGACACTGTTTTATAATTGTCTTTCCTGTGAATTGTGCTGCTGGGAGCCAGGTGGCTCACGACTGCTCTTTCTTACCTATGCAAGTTTTAAAATTCAAGAACATCCCCTTCTAACCAAAAAGGAAATGAGAATCTTAAATAATCTCAAACTTGGGAAGAAAGTAAGTTCTCCTGTTATATACAAGCTAGCTGAAACTAATGAACCGTATATTTGTATTAAGTGTTGTTCTTTAAAATATTCCATTAGGCAGCCCTGTGAATCTGGATCTATAAATAGCATGTGCACTTTGACTCCAAAGAAAGAAGCATTAGAATTGAGCCCCATTGAGAATTTGTTTCTTGCAAGTACTGTCAAAATGCTGGGAGAATTTATTTCTATATAATTATATCATATTTTTTGTTGAGTCTGAAATAGAAGTGTATAATCCATCAGCAGGAGATATTTGCATAAATGAATGAGTCAATACAGTCACCTGAATAAATCCTTTTAATTTTAATTTTCAGTTATGTGTAAGTCAACTTCTTTTGCATATCTTAATTTTCCATTCATCATTCATTGAATTTTTTACTTCACACTATTTCTATGTTAATTTTTCCTGAGTGAATTATATAATCATTATATAATAGGTAATGTTTTTCATGCTGAAATTGCTAGCTATAAACAGAGTTAAAATAGGATATTTATGTTACTGTCATGCTTTAATTTTGAGTTTAAACCTTTAGAGCATTGTTTGTGATGATTGATTTCATTGGATAATTCTCATGATTTTTTTTAAACTGCATTCAGTTTCCTATTGGAGAAATTAGACCAAAGGAAATAAATTTAGTATTTTGAATATTTCTTATTTTCCAGAAAATAAATACAGTTGGAACCAGTAATGCAGATGTCCCTTTGGCTGATCCCGGAATGTACCAGTTGGATATCACACTGAGAAGGGGTCAAAGTTTAGCTGCCCGTGATCGAGGAGGTAAAAATTTAAGAACAGTATCACCTCAAAGCTTCTTCTATGTGCTATGACAGATTTTGTTTTCTTTGTTTGGATTTAGAGACACTCTTTGCTATGTGATTTGACTCCTCTAACGTGAAGGATGCAGCTTCCATGACTCTGACCCAGTGGGTGAGGTTCCCACCAAATCTCTTACACTATAGATTTCACAGTGCATGGGAGACATGCATTCACATATTAAGGTGTACATGTATGGAGGTGAGCATACCTCCAAATAAGTGAGGTATCCATGCACACAGGTGGGCATACATTTACAAAAGTGACAATGCATAAACATTTATGTACAGGCATACATACGTAGTTGAGCATACATTTACATAGGTGGGCATGAATTTATGTGGGCAAGAGTTATTTTTACACAAATGAGGCATATGTTTATGGAGGTGAGCATACATAGGTGGGCATACATTTATATATATGTGAGTATACATTTACATAGGTAAGGCATGCATTTACATCAGTGATGCATATATTAACACGAGTGAGGCGTGCATACATTTACATGGGGTGAGATGTACTTTACACAGATGAAACATACATTTATGTGAGTCTACATTTACATTGGTGACACACATATTTGTTTCGGCAATCATATATTTACACAGATAAGGCATACATTTACATAGGCTAGACATATTTTACTGTGCCAGAAGTTGGCTTTTGGTAGAAAAGGTTCTTTGTTACCTGGAGTCATTCAGTTTAATCTGCTGAAATTGTAATGTCTGAGACTAACATCTCCTCAAAACTTGGACCCTTAATCAGCAGCTGTCTGAACCTTGTTTGAATGTCTGCTTCTTGGTATAGAAATTTGTAGGCACTCCTAAGGGAAAAGGCAGCAGTACTTTTTAGTTCTCAGATTCCAAATGCTTGGGCAATCTCTTGATGAATTAATCTGAGCAAACAAGAGCTTTCTAGACCCAGAGTAGAGGCAGAATCATGGAAAGAGTCCCAGTGGACTGAGTAGCAGCCTGAGGGAATGTTCAACACCTGCTCTGCAGAAGTTAGAGACTTGGGAGGACTGGGAACTCCACACCTTCAGGATGCTTAGTAGAGATGTACACCTTCCATCAGGAGGAAGGACAGTCCCTACACCTTGGCCTGCCCATCCTCGGATACAGATGGACTCCTGAGCATGTGATGCTTTTGCCACTGCATCTCCATATATAGAGGTCAAAGAAGCAAGATTAGGGATGCAGGTTATCATTGCTATCTCTTGTCTCTAAATGATGAATTATTTAATGTAATAATGAATTTTCATAACTAGAAACTATAAACTTGGATTTGGTTTTAAGCAAAAACTAATAAATGTCATAACATTCTTAATGAATGGACAGTGAGAAACATGTTAAATTTGAAGTAGACAAGGGAAGCTTTTCAGAATTAAATGTATGTTCTAGAAGCCAAAGAAAGTTTTATTGAATCAGACTATATCAGAAGTTGCATGCACTCAGTATAGAGAAACAAAGGCAAGTAATATACAGTTAGAATCATTTAACAGGACATTTTTATTATTCAAAGTGATCTCAAATTAAATTGAATCATTTGATCTAAAATATAATTAGACCAAGAAACAATATCAAATTTATAATCCCAGACCTGTTCCCAATCTTGTTAAGCAACACACACATAGCTACTTATTGTAGCATTGTTTATAGTTTTGTGAGTATTGAAACAACATAAATACCCCCAAATAAGTGAATAGTTGAAAAAACACACACAAGATCATCCACACAAGAAGATAGCCTGTAATTGTGGGGGGAAATGGGATTAAGGAAAATGTCTAGAAGTTAATGTGGAAATTTTGACAATGTGACATGTAACCAAAGTTCAAAAGGGTGTCACTAGAATGTAATATTTCTTGTAAGAAATAAAGAGCTATAATAAATCAGGCAGTCTGCTAATTTGTGCAAAAAAAAATACAGGAAGAAAAAGTTAGACACTGAGATTGGTAACTTTCTGACTGTAGGTGAGGACACGTGGTAAGAATAGAGATGAGAGCGAATAGGTAAAAAAGAAAGTGGCATTTCTCCCAGTATAGTTCTCCTAGACTGTTCACCATGAAGTCAAGATAAAGAGAACCATGCAGAAATATTATACTTCATGGCATGATTGTAATGTTGAAAGTGCTTATTAAGCATGCTAAGAGCTAACTAATAAACAAGTAAATATACAATAGATACTGAGACCTGTATTTCTCACTGTTGAAAATGATATGTAAGTACAGGAAATGGAAAATCTAGACCAAGTCCTGAGATATCACTGATCTCAGTTTGAACTATTATGTGTGTGTGTTGAGATACATAGAAATACAAAAGGATAAATACATGTGTATGTGTGTTCTGAATCTGTCTGCTAAGTGGGGCTAAAACAATGACAGATGAAATAACCAAAAAAGTAATTGACACACCAATGGTCCAAATCTTTGTTTCTAAATACAATTTCCCTAATGCAAGTGATCAGGACTTTTTGAGAAATTATTGATTACAGACCTGGGTAGGAAAAGGACAAGATGAGGTTGGGACATTTTCCATTGACAAAAAGTAAAGAAATAGAATGTCAAAACACAGGAGCCACTTCAGAGAAACAAGTAATGACTACAGGTGAGTCAAGTTCAGCAAGAGTGGTAATGATGGTGATGATGCATGACACAGGATGAAACAAACAAATGTCTGCCTTAATAGTAAATCAACAACTGAATATGTGAGTAGGAGGGAGAGGAAGATAGCTTTCCTTGTGATAGAAAGCCACCATTTAAGGACACTGTGGTCACAACAGTCCCAGGAGGAAATCATACTAAAGTTGTATGTGAAAAAATTATGATGTGAAACAGAATATTTGGAGCATTTCAAAAAATAACTGAGGAAGAGACTGTCTTGGCCAAGTTACATTTACAAGTAGTTACCCTTGGCAGTCATAAGAGATGAAGGCAGGACTTGCTTTAGATAACATGCACTAAGAAATGCACACCATGGCTGTGGACAGTTGTGTCAAGAGGTTCAATGTACTTATAAATGTATAATCTTGGCAAACTATGCCATCATAGGATGCCATTTGTTGAGCATAGCTCACTTTGTTCTACCCTTAAGACACTGTGTAGTCTCTTTCCTATCCCTCTTTTTAGAATTATTAATGTATATTCATTGTACAGAATGATGGATTTCATTGTTAGATTTTCAAACGTGTACCATGTGTACGAGCATTCATCCCATTACCCTATCTTGGGCAGCATAAAAATATACTAAACTTGCTGGGCTGTGGTGGCGCACACCTTTAATGCCAGGACTCGGGAGGCAGAGGCAGGCGGATCTCTGTGAGTTCGAGGCCAGCCTGGTCTACAAAGTGAATTCCAGGAAAGGCGCAAAGCTACACTGAGAAACCCTGTCTCAAAAAACCAAATATATATAATAAACTTAGATTTAAGTCTAGATTCTCTTGTTCCAGCATACTCTGTTTCACCATGGTTCCCAGTCTGGATTTCATGTGAACACAATAGTATTTTTCTTTTTCTTTTTTTTTTTTCGAGACAGGGTTTCTCTGTGTAGCTTTGCGCCTTTCCTGGGACTCACTTGGTAGCCCAGGCTGGCCTTGAACTCACAGAGATACACCTGGCTCTGCCTCCCGAGTGCTGGGATTAAAGGCATGCGCCACCACCGCCCGGCAACAATAGTATTTTTCTTATAGCAGCAAATTATTCTCAGATAGAAATATGGAACAAGTTTCAGGAGAATGGGAGTATTGTATATTTAAGGAAATATTACTTAGCAGGGAAGAACATATATATTTAAAATGCTCATTTCAACCTAACCCAGTCAGTTTTGCTCTTGGAAATCTCTCTCTCTCTCTCTCTCTCTCTCTCTCTCTCTCTCTCTCTCTCTGTATGTGTCTGTCTGTCTGAAAGTTCATACAGGTGATTAAGGACTCAGAGAGGGCATCAGATTGCCAGGATCTGGAATTAGACAGTGTAGAAAGGTCTGATGTGGGTGCTTGGGATTGAACTATGACTCTCTGTGAAAGTAGCAAGTTCTCACAACCCCTGTCCTGTTTGCTGCTGATTGCTGTTTATCAGACCATGACCAAAAGCAATTTGGAGAGGAAATGGTTTATTTGATGTGTATGACTCAATCACAGCCCACCATTGGGAAAAACAGGAATTCAAGCCAGGCAGGAACCTGGAAGCAGGAACCAAAGCAGAGATTATGGGGGAGTGCTGCTTACTGGCTTGCTTTCTAAGGTTCACTCAGCCTGCTTTCTTACATAGCCCAGGATCCCCTGAATCGGTGGCATTGCCACTCAATGATTAATTAAGAAAATGTCCTATAGACTTGCATGCATCTCAATTGAGAGTCTCTTACTGAGATCACTGTAAATTGTGTCAAGATGATAAAACAAAACAAAACAAAAAATTAACTAACCATCACAACAGCAGAGGCATCCCTCCTGCCCTAAAGATAAGTTTTTTGTTTGTTTGTTTTAGGTAAAAGAAAGACCTGAGTTAAGTCTGTGATTGAGTGACTTGAATAACAGATAATTTGATGTTTGAGTAGGCAGTGTTGGGTTAGTTAGCTCTGTAGTATAATATTGCAGTGAATTGGTGGGACAACTCTATGGAGATGGAGACTTTAAGTCAAAGGGCAGCTGGAAAGTGCTGGAGTTGTGTGGGAACACCGCTCTGATTAAGGACTTGAACTTGGATTTTTTTATGTATTTGGATGATTTGCTTGCATGTGTGCGTACCAATATGTGTAGTGCCTGAAGAGGCCAAATGAAGGCATCAGATCCCCTGTGGAATTGGAGTTACAAACTACTGTTAGCTGTCATATGGGTGCTGGGAATAGAATCCTGGTTCTTTGGAAGAGTAGTCAGTGCTCTTAAGCAAGCTCTCAGCCCCTTGAGCTTGCATTTTAAGTGTGAAAACAGAAGGAAAGGAATGTATGAGAGACGGGTTAGAGGAATGCTCGCAATGACTTGGGATGATTTGAAAGATTGGGCTGAGTAAAGGGGGAAAAAGAAAGAAAAGAAGAGAAACTGTGGGAGTCTTAAGGTTGATGGCACTCATGCTTCCTGAGGGCCATGCAGAGATTAGAAAGGATGGCTATAGACACTGTGTAACTGTCAGAATCAACAGAAGCTATGCTTCTACCATTTATTACAATGCTGCCCAGAAAAACCCAAATGTCTTTGTTCTCTGTGCCTTGCATCACATGTTCACAGGAGAGAGAAAGGAGAAGAATCCCCTTTCACCATCATGGTCAACATCCCCATGATGTCTGGACTTTGTTTCTGGAGGATCCCTCATACGCAGTAGTCACTGAGGCAGGCTGGGCACTCTGAGCTGGCCATTCTTCCTTTAATTTGACTTGTTTGCCAGCATAAACAGAAGACTTCTTGGAACACTTCTCATTTTCCTGAGTTCTCTTATTTCTTCCTTAGGCACTCTGATGAATTCTAGACAGAGTCTTACACACCTAAGTGGAGAGCTGTGTGACTTTGAGTGAGATGTGCAGCCTTTCTTCTCTAATGATCAAGTCCAGGTTTAGTAAACAGGAATGCAGGCTAGTTTCATGTAAACAATGTATTATCTTTCACTCATGCATGGACAACTCTCAAGTAATATTTCAAGCATGCTAATACTAAAAGTATTTATTGTTCTTCTGAAATTTGATTATCAATTTGTCTTGCAGTCCCTCCCATTCAACTTTCAGAAAGACACCATTTATATGTAAATTAAGTTGGACTTTTCGGGAGATAAACCTTTTGGCTGAAATCCCTACTACCATCTGTCATATTTTGAATGTGATGTATTCTAAGCAGGCTGTTTGTACTATGTGTAAATTAAGAGCAACTTGGATGGGTGTGTCTGGTAATAGCAATTCCCTTCTCTTTCATTTCCTGCAATTTAGATCATGGAGGATAGAATGGTTTCCTAGAAGTCATAACAGATCACCACACATAAAGCCAGAAAGACAGAAATGTATTAGCTCGGAGGTTTGGGAGCCAAGAATTTAAAGACCATGGTATAGCAAGACAAACTCTCCTAGGTGTTCCAGGAAATAATTGCAGTTTTCAGCTTGCTGCTTCTGTAGCCCCAGGCAGTCCTTGGTTTGGAAGAATATCACCCTGGTTAATCTCTGACTCCAGCCTAATGTGGTTTTCCTCTCTGTTGTCACCTCCCAAGTCTCCCTCCCCTTTCTCTTCTAAGGATAAAATCACCAGCATCCATCCTAACTCACAAGGACCTGAGCTTAATTACACCTTCAAGTGCTGTATTTCCAAGTGAGGTCATATTCACAAGTACTAGGGATTAACACATGTGTGTTATGAGGAAACTCAAATTAATGTGCAGTGATTCTCAGCCTATGGATCTCGACCCATTGGAGGGTCCAATGACCTTTCACAGGGATTGCATATCAGATATCTTGCATATCAGATATTTGCATTGTGATTTATAACAGCAAAATTACAGTTACGAAGTAGCAATGAAAATAATTGCGTGGCTGGAGGTCATCACAACATGAGGAACTGTATTAGTGTCACAGCATTAGGAAGGCTGAGAACCACTGTATTACAAGGTATTTCTTTTCATTGTACACTAGGAATAAATTTAAATAAACAAAAAATAAAGTTGTTTGTTTATTTGTAACATTATTATAAATTCCTGCATTTTTGGCCGGTCTATAGTTCTCCATCTGGGCACCTTCAGCTGCTAGAGTCTGCCCTGACTTTAGGCCTGTGCTAAAGAAAGCTTCCAAGCATACTGAAAGCCTTGTTCTCAGGATGGAGTAAGAACAATAGAAACCTGATATATGGATATGGATGTGGGAGTTAACCACCCATTAACCTTCATTTTTAATCACTAATTGAGAACTTGCACCAGATCCAACACTGCCAGATATAAGAAGAGTTGAGACCTCTCTTTTCCCAGAAAATAAATTCAATGAAATAAGACTAAAACATTCTGCACTGTAATTATAAACAAGTCCTTTTTCAAGTTAGATGGCCAGTCAACAGTTTTAACACCAGAAAGTATCGATGAAACCTCTTAAAGAGAGAGTGGGTAAGGCATGGGTCTATCCCTAGTGGACATCAGGCATGAAGCAGGAAGCTTGGAACTTACTAAGTTTCTTTGACTCCCAAGAGGCCTGGCTGTAAGGGCACCACTGCCACAGCACATGCGTTCACACTTTGGTCTCCAGACTCCTGCTTGGTTTTGAAGTTTGGGAACTGTCCTCATGTCAGGATGGCTGCATCTCACCTGGAGAAGTTGTGTTTTGTAACTATTGACTGGAATCATTACTAACAGTACTCCATTTCACTATCCAAGCAAATTTTAGATGTAATGAACATTTACTAATGTTTTCTAAAACAGATCTTAATCTCACTAAAATTCATCAGAAAATTAAGCATCATAGGGTTGGGGATACAGCTAAGTGGAAAAGCATGTGCTTTACAGGCATGACATTTGGAGTTTAACCACTAATACCAAAGGGGATAAAGCATTGTGTATATTCTTATTCCCCAAGCAATATGCAGCTATGCGGCAGGAGTGGGTTTTCTCTGAGTGCACTCCCCTGGTATCCTTAGAACTCAGCTTTTGATGAGCTGTGCTGATGAAGAAAAGACATGCCACGCTGTGTTTTGGGCAAGATAATGAATTATATGTGTTGCTAGTCAACTTTGTTTACAAGTTTCTTTCAGGTGGTGAGAATGAGATATAAGTGTAGCTTATCTGTTAGAGACATGATCATCTACATACATGTTGATGTTCCTTTAACCAAGGTCCTACCACTGAGAAAATTTTCAGAATGGCCTTGTCCTTTTAAATATTTTACTTGAACTTTTTATGCAGTAATCATGGTTATCAATTCACTTATACAATGTGTAATAAGTCAAGATAATAATTTCTACCTCTTTCAATAATCACCTTCTGTGTTGGGAATTTAATATTTTTGTCATTTTGAACTGAATCATGGGTTGTTTTAACTAGTAATAGGCGTCAGGGGTGTTTCCTCCATTCTGTTTCCAGTTCCTTTGGTTCTTGTTCCTCCTGTCCTTGGCCTACTCAGTGTTCGGTGACCACAACTGCATTCCATTCATTTCTTTTCAAGACTGACTTGGTGGTATTCACAAGTTACCAACACAATGACCTTCAGTCCCTTTATGTCGCTGCAAATGACAGGATTTCAGTCTGTGTTCTTAAACCTCATATATAATTGTATGTGCATACAAAAACAGACACATACTCATACATGCAAATGATATGTATATGAAAATGCATATTATTATGATTAGTATATACAGCTGTGGTTTGGGTATGTAATCTCACATGTGGTTTTTTGTTATTTACTGGAAGGTTTTGTTTGTTTGGAAGTTGTTGTTTGAGACAGGCTGGCCTTGAACTCAAAAATCTTCCTTTACCTTCCTGATTGCTGGGGATATAGGCCGGTGTTACCACACCCAACTTGGGTGCCTTGTGTTCAATCCTTGGAACCCCAGTGTAATGTTCAAAGGGGAGCTTTTGCCATGTGATTGGGTTGTAAGAACTGTGACTTAGTCAATGGATAATCTGATGGGATCACAACTTGATGCCCTGGGAAGTAGTAGAAACTCTCAGAGTTGGAGGATCTTGGTTACTGTGGCATGTTATAACATGTGCTATCAATTGTCCTGGGCACATTTCTTACTTTCTGCTCCTGCTGATTTTGAGGTATTAGACACTTTGCTCTCCTGCCTGCTCCCCCACCATGGTTTGTGCCTCATCCACAATCCTGGGAACTACCACATACAGTGACTGTGAACCAACACCTGGGTCTGAAACAGAGAGCCAGGGTGACCCTACATCAAGCTGCTTTGTTAGCTGTTTATCCATAATAGTCACTGTTAACTAGTAGAGATGCAGTCTATTCTTTTTTAATGCTTTACTTTTTATAGATAGAAAACATACTACTCAGTGTACATAAAGACCCCTTGGTTGCATTTTAGTAAAACTGGCCATATAATTACTAAACCATGAGAATTTAATAAGTGACTTGATGTTTGCCCTGTTGTCCCAAGAATATTTTGCACTGGTCTCAGCATTGTTTAATCTGAACCATAGAAAGGACCCTTTTACAGCCTCTTTTACAGCACTATGTATGGAATAAATTCCTTTCTTTAGGGTCTACCAGGAGGTGAGATCTTTGCCAAATGTAAGTCTGTCTGGGATTCCTTCGGCTATAGAGCAGATGTTTCACCAGCTCCCTGAAGAGCCTGGGTCTATTTCCATTCTATGAAATGCAGTCTAACTACCTGACTAAATAGTTACTTTCAAAAGCGTTCTTTCTTCCTTTGCTGTGATTTCGAACTTGCTTTCTTAATTATAACAAAGTAAAAGGGAGGACCAATTTTTATGCCAAATTTTATTAAAATTCTGCAAATACCGACATTTCCATGAATTGTGAAAAGACTAAGGGAGAGTGCCATGTGAAGTATTTGACAGTGTGTTATGTATGTTATAAGTAATCAATATATATCATATATCCTCCATTCAACTACATAGCCTTTGCCCATAATATATTTGTGAAACAATATTTGATTATACATTAATTTTGAATAAGTATAATTTAATTTTTTTGTGTGGTTACCATGTGCACTTTATTGAACCCACTATGGACATGTGTGTGAGGGTTACATCTGTATATAACGAGGGGTAGAGGGCCAGGAGGAAGGTAGTTATGGATGGTGGAGTAAATGTCAGGACCAAAGGCCAGAATCCTCTGTTAAGTGTAAAGACGACTAGCAGAGAAAAAAATGCAGAGGACAGCCACGATGGTAATAACAACCTTGAGGATGCTGAGGACCAGGGCGCTGATGTTGAGGCACTTGGCAGTGGAGGTGTAGGCCTGGGCTCCAGTCATGTCACCCACCATCTTTCTGTCCCTAGACTTCACAGAGTAGGCATAGGCAATGAAACCCAGGCAGCAGAAGTTCAAGAAGAGTGTGTTGAAGAGGGACCAGACCACATAGCTGTTGTTAAGAAAGGCTGGTTTTAAAGCTTACTTCACTTTAAAAGAGCATCATGGAATTCTACCTAGCAGAGACATTGTCATTAAATTTGTATAGTAGCTTGTATTCGTAGCTTTCCATCTTAAGAGGTGTTTCTTCTTGGCGGAAACATAAAGATTTTGGCGTATTTTGTCTGTGAAGAAATGCTGTCAGGAATTATCTCTCTATTGCCTGAAATTGGGTGATATAAAGTGTACATAAAGCATTCTTCCCATAAAATTTGAAGGTCAGTTGACACAGTATCTCAAATAAGAATGAATTTACGGCCGGGCGTTGGTGGCGCACGCCTTTAATCCCAGCACTCGGGAGGCAGAGCCAGGCGGATCTCTGTGAGTTCGAGGCCAGCCTGGGCTACCAA